AATGCAGAATGAATTACTTTAAGTAAGTAACATAATAGCCATTCTTTATACCACATCGGATTCAAAATTCGCAGATATATATGCATAAAATGTTTAATATTACCGTTAATGCTGGTGTATTTAGATTTGACTGCGTATTTTTTTCACTAGAATTTTTTAATTAGTTAGAACGTTTTTTTGACATGGTTCTGTTTTCTGTATCCATATCTACCCTCAATTTTCCTGCTTAACTTAGCTAGCACGGTGAAGTCTAACCATTATGGTAAAGCATGCCTTATGCCTATTGCTGTGCCTTGTATAGTCTAGGTAAAATATTAAAAAAGAGTCTTTTCTCTACTTATTTATCATATTTTTGTTGTGCCAGGACAACGGAAACAATGTATTTTTTTGTCTTTTTGCTTATTCTTTAGGATTTAGTATATTTTTAAGAAGTATACATTGAGTACTCATGTATTCATTTCTTTATTACAGGGACAGTAAAATAATTTTTATGAAGAATTAAACATAAGACGGAGTCAGAAATAGTGACAAAAGAGAGTGTAGCAGAAAACAAAAGGAACACTCTTGTGAATAAAAACCATGTTATAATACAGAACTAGGAAAACAACTGTATGAAGTGAATTACGTAATTATACAGTAATGAGTTATCATGAATAGACTTTATAATTTTCATTCTAGATCTGATTTAGAAACGTGTAGATACATAAAATTAAACTTTTAACACTTTGCTGGTTGTCTAGCTAAAATAAATTATATACATTCATACCTTTGTGTTTACATTATTTAAGAAAAATAGGTAACATGGATGTGTTGATTGAATTCATTCAAATATGAGTAAAATTCTAAAGTACAGTTCCTGGAGAGAAAGATTGATTGATTGTTGGTTGCTTAAACGTCCAGTGACAAATTTTTCATGCATGTTCAGGAAGATGGAGAGAAAGTGGCAAACTACCAAATTGTCAGGGTAGTATGTAAGAAACAAATTAAATGGTATAACAACAGTGGATCCTTAAAACGCAATAATTTTAACATTTTATAAAACTAATACTTTCGCAATTTTGAACTGATGTAAAAACCAAGAATTATTTCAATTGTTGCTTGGAAGGGATTTTAGCATCCTTCCTATGGATCGAAAAGTTTACAAATTGAACCAACGGAGTGCCAACGTTTGTTAAAAGTTTGTAATACTACGTTGGCCCAACGTTTGTTCAACATCGGCCGTATTATTCCATCATTGGGCCAACGTTGCACCTATGTATTGTATAAAACCTTACAACGTTGTGCCAACGTTAAGCCATCACGTTGGACCAACATAGGGCCACTTTGCACTTAAACATTGGGCCAACGTCTAAAAACAACGTTGGGCCAATGAATTTAGATACGTTGGGCCATTGTTGTGCCAACGTACAAATGTTGTCTGGGACTAGGTTAAATTTGGGTTCCAGATTGGTTACATAAGGTTCTATTTAGGTTCCAGATTGGCTACACAAGGTTCTATCAAGGTTCCAGATTGGTTACACAAGGTTCTATTAAGGTTCCAGATTGGTTTTTCATAACGTTATATCATAACGTTCTTATAACGTTACTGTTAGTCCATACTTTAATGTTCCCACAACGTTAAATCACAACGTTTTCACAACGAAACAGAAACGTTCCAGGAACATTTCCTAAACGTTTTTGTGTTTTGTGGGATTAGTCCAAATGTTTAATTAATGCATGCATCTGCTCATTACTGTATCTCTTCAAATCGTCTATCGAAGATTAAACAGTGTTGTATTTTTCTTTGATGGCTCTGATTGATTGATTGGTTGATTGTTTGGTGTTTAACGCCACTTTCAGCACTAATGCGGTAATTTTTAGATGTACTACTTAGACCCCTCGGTTGCCAAAACCCCTTGATGGATATGTAATGTAATGACATTAAGGCGTGACGTAATATATCGAAATGCGTCTTAGCTGTGCATGTCACGTCACAGACTTTCAGCTACCGTTTTTTCTAGCACACAAAATGTAACGATATCAAATTAGCGGCATCAAGACGGTTAAATGTAGTAGCAAAGGTGTAATGGTCATTTCTTTTCCGTCTCTTCTTGTGCATCGAATCGATTCTAACGCTCCCATCCCGAACTGATTTGGGTACACATTTATAGATCCGACACACTCACGTGTGTTAGGATTTTACTGTATGATCTTAGAATTTCAGTGCTGAACATCTTTCTATATCAAAATACAGGTGAAGGAAAATAATTTATACTTACTATCATAGCCCATGTTAGCATTAGGAAAATTGTTTTAATTATCTTTTGCGTTAATGTATATTCCGAGTTTCCATTTTCCTTTTCTCTCTTTTTTTCCTTGGCCATCTTAGCGAAAACATAGAGTTCTTTACAAGTGGATATCTGTTGACATAATCGTGTACGATAAAAGACCTCTTGAAAAAGTAGATCAAGTTTGGAGGTCAGTGACAAAAATAGAAACACATTTATACGGTCCTTTCACCAGAATCTGTTATTATTTTACAAATCTGATAATTTACAATAATAAAGCACTTGAAATAGTTTAAGCCAAAACAAGTTATCTGCGACAAAAGTTGTTACACTTAATCTTACTTTTATCGTTAGAACCATTGACAGATTAAACAGCTATGACGAACCTATATTTTAGACAATTTACAAGTGTGGATGCAGACCAGTGTGGGTAGTACTTGTTTGATTAGTGATAGCATGTTTGACCTTGTAAGTATAATGTTGTAATATATAATGCTTACATCGTTTGCCAAACTTTTCTCCTGTAATTTATGTATGTTGGTGCATCCCCCCCCCCCCCCCCCCCCCCCCCCCCCCCCCCCCCCCGCCGACGTTTTCTTAGCATTTTCTCATAAGGTTCTATGTTAAAACTGTATCCAAAAGCTATAGTGAGAGCCAACCTGGATTTCAGATTAGAAGATAAAGCTCAAAATAAACATAGTTTCATTCATTCAGTATTTGGTTATTGTTCAGTTCTGCTGTGGAGACGGAAGCTATATTTGTATCGGTTTCCAACATCATTCAATTGCAAACTATGCTACATAGTAGAAGCCATCATTATGTTTATATATATATTATATATATATATATATATATATATATATATATATATATATATAAGTCTAGAGATTTGCACAACGATACTTATATAAGATGGTATTATACGCTGAAGAAGGCTATTTGTTAAGCCGAAATATTTGTCAACACGATTTAATAACAACATCTTCGTATAATACCATCTTATATAAGTATCGTTGTGCAAATCTCTAGACTTATAAAATGTTTTCCTCATCTGCACAGTATCGTCTATTCTAGACGATCCGGTACATAGTAAATTTGCTGATTGGTCCTTTTTATAGACTTCTATATATATATATATATATATATAAAACACATTATTAGATGAATAACCGAAGTGCATAATATTGTTTCAATGTAGGTACATGTATGTATAACTCATATGGTGCTATTGTATTTCAGTTTCCTGGTGGTCATTTCTTATTCCAGTTACATGTAAGCAACAAAAACTGCAAATTAATATCGGATCACATTAGTATCATTAGTGTAAAATTTCATTTTAATGGGTAAAAGTTTATGAGAAATAATCTATGTGTATGTATATGTATTTCTCATAGTTCTAATTTAAACATTGTTCAATGGTGCTAGTGCAGATGTTCATCTTGAATTTGGCCATTGACAAAAAAAAACTCAAAATTGGTATTATTATACTAGTCTATCAATTGATCATTTCTAACATAATAATGTGATTTTAGGCAATCAGTATACATTTTTGTCTCTTGCAGTCATTTTTAAATTCAGATTCACAAATCATACTCCTCCGTCATTTGGTGTCTGGTGCAGACTTGTCTTTTGGCAATCATACCACATCTTCTTTTTTATAAAAAATGTGAAAAGTTTAGACAGTACCTCATATGACACGATTATTACTTATGCATAGCCTTCAACTTTTACATTATGTAAAATCCTAAAATTGAGGATGGAAATAGGGAATGTGTCAAAGAGGCAACAATCCAACCAAAGAGCAGAAAACAGCCAAAGGCCACCAATGGGTCTTGAACAGAGCGAGAAAATCCCGCACCCGCAGGCGGGCTTCAGCTGGCCTCTAAACAAAAATGTATACTGGTTCAGTGAAAATGGACGTCACACTAAACTCCGAAACATTCAAATGAACTAAAAAAAGCATACAAGACTAACAAAGACCAAAGGCTCCTGACTTGGGACAGGCGCAAAAATGCGGCGGGGTTAAATATGTTTTGTGAGATCTCAACCCTCTAACTACACCTCTAGCCAAAGTAAAACAAACGAACACCCAGCAACACGCACAGTAAAACTGTTTAAGCACGTTGTCTGCCCAAGGCATTCGGTAAAATTATATATTGTAAGCAAGTAAGCCTTTTCGGTCCTGCAAGTTCATGATTTATTCGCATTATGCATATACAACTAACGTCCAACTGAATTTACATTGGGGTCTTAATTTCTAAATAATCATTAATCTTTGTTTGATATCATTAGTTTTTTCTGACACGAAGGGTGACTGGTATAGAAATAAGGTCATCTCTTGGTCTTCTTACGACCGACAGTATAAGCCTTGCCAAAGTTGCGCGTTCGTTTGCCTGTGTGAGATGTTTAAATTCGCAGTATTGTCCGGTCAGAATGGGAAGGTAAAAATTGATGCCAAGTGTAAAGAGAGTGTCATAATCTTTACATTTTAAAACATCTTACAGCAAGTCTTTGTAGGGTCCGTATATGACATGTTCAAAGGATAAATATCTTTCCCTATCCAATATACCCTAATCGAAAAAAAAAAATTTATCAGTAGCATACCAACTAACACGACCTTCATTCTGGGCGACCTCTTTTACATGACTTACCTATTGTATTTATTGCTTATCAGTTCTCATCCTAAATATGCAACAACTATTTACCACTGGACGTACAGCAAACAACAATGAATCAATATTAGTTTTTTATTTAACTCGTCTCCTCTAGCATCATATAATAAAGAGTATATATTGGCATATTCCTTTGACATATACAGCTATTAAAGAATTTGAAAATAGTGGTTGGTCCGTTAGGATCCGAAGAATTTATTATGGCAAAGAAACATACTGATTTTATACAAAACTCCAATAACCTTATGATCTCATCTTTTACAATGTCAACAATTATGATATTATATATTTCACTCAATCCATATTCATACATATTCATACATATTATCGTGTAAGTACCAAAGCTGCATTGGTTCCTCTTTATTGTTAATGTTTTAGTTTAGTATTGTGTATTCAATTTCAATATATATATAGAAACAGAAGTCATATAATTTTGCCTCTTATCGCTTCTTTTGTCGACTAGCATTAGGAGTGTTTTAGTAAAGCAAATATAATAAACAAATTTTGATGAATAGCTTATAAAAGAAAAAGATACATGCTCAATATACAATAGTTAGTCAGTTGTACGGGTATATTAGTTTCACTAGTCCCCAAATACATTTAGTTTCATTCGCTCCATAATAGTGCCTTCGTGGTATTCTTTATTAGTGTAACTTTCTTGTAACGACATTTCTGCTGGCATCCAACTTGAATTTGGTCTCAAGGAGAAAATGAATTTCTACAAGGAGAAAAAAAAGTTTAAATTTCTGAGAATTAGGATATGCTGTATATAAGCAGTTTAGTTGTGATTAAGAGCAATTCTCTGTAACCACAAACCATTTTATATAGAGGGGTCGGCACGCATAGTCACCGATGTTTCTGAAACTTAGCCTTAACATGTAATCAGGTAAAAAAGTAAGAAAAATGCCCACCAAAGTGTTGCTACATTGTAGGTGAAGGTTGTCATGGCAACCAAGTCAATGAGTTTTCCCGTACATTTTGATGAATTTAGCATTGAAAGAACCACTACTTTCCAGTCATTCCGAAGCAAAACCAGGTTTTATTTTATGATATTTATTATTATTTTTAAAAACATGATACTTCAAAAACAAAACAGCAATGTCTTACATAAAAAAATATTTTTGCTGTATATTGTCACAACCGCGGGAGCAGAGGTCATTTTTTATTGTATTTGTAGATGCAAATTATACACATTTTGTAAGAACAAAATATACATTTTTGCATCCACCTAAAATGTAAGCTGGGTTTATAAGTTAAAGTATCAATGTTTCTTGTCAATAAATGATAACATAATGTTTGGGATATTGAGTGCTAGGATGGTTGCTATGGAAACAAAAATGTGTCATGTTTGCCTTTTCAATGATAACAAAATGTCAATAAATGATAACAAAATGTTTGGGATATTGAGTGCTAGGATGGTTGCTTTGGAAACAAAAATGTGTCATGTTTGCCTTTTTTCCGCTGAAATTTGACCATGTTATTAAGATAACCCCAAAAAAGTAATAACTATTGAATGACTATGATGTGCAAACTATTGGCAATTAAATTACTATAAATCTGACCCAAGGTCAAATGTCATTGATGACCTTGACCTTTGAACTTGTGTATATAATTTGAATTTTGTAAGAAAAGATGATGGAAAGAAGCATACAATACATGGAGGAAATGTTCAGGACGTTTAAAGCCACTATTTTGTTAACTGATCAAAAGTAAGAAGTCAAGTTCATGTCAAAAGTGCTTAGCAACCACCCTTATTTGATTAAAAAGTACATAGTAACCATACATGTTTTGATTTAGGACTTTATAAACTATTACATAGACCTTACATAAAAGGTCAAAGTAGAATGTCATCACATAAGTCCTAAGCAATCACTCATTTATAGTTGAAAAAAACGTAGCAACCATTTATATATATTGGAAATCTGCCTAGCAACCATTTATTTCTTATTGGAAAACTGCCTAGCAACAATATATTTCGGTTTCATTGGGACATAAATCAGAAAAATAATAATATTAAACATGCAGTTTTCTTTAAATTAGTAATCATATGTCAAATTCAATTTCAAGGGATTGATACAAATTCGAATACAAATATTAGAAGATGTGGTACGATTTCCAATGAGACAACTATTATAAGAGACTAAAGGTTATTTTTAAGACAGGTCCTTTGAATTTACAAGAACAATTTAAGACAAAAGGAACGGACGACCAATTTATTTCTTTGGTTGAGGCTGGGATTTTGGGCAAGAAGTTTGCGTAGACATAATTATCATTTTCACCCATTTAAAGGCTGGATTACTTATTTCATTCCTTTTTCATCGAAAAAAAGACTATTTTTCATTGTGTACACACATTTTTCCTATTTTAAACTGTATGTGGCTGATGTGCATCTGAACGTAAGAAAATTCCTTTGCAGCATGTCTTGGGCAATATTATTGATCTTCAGTTCTAGACACCATTACATTCATATCATTTAGCATCCCTTTTTCCACCACAAAATATAAAATGGTCCGACCTAGCTAATAGAACTACTCTGATTCTGCTCAATTGCTATATTTGTATTCTATGGATCATTAAAAAACAAAACTCTTTCTTAAAAACAAAATACATTGTGTGTTCTGCAAAATGTATTTATTAGCTCACCGGGCCCACAGGGCCAAGTGGGATTTTCTCATCATATTGCGTCTATCGTCGTTAACTTTACAAAAATCTTCTCCTCTGAAACCAATAAGCCAAATTAAACCAGACTTGACCACACTCATCATTAGGGTTAGTACTATAACAAATATTTTCAATGATGGCTGATCATGACATGACTAAAATAGAACATAGGGGTAAAATGCATCTATTATCATAAAAACTCGCGTCATTCCGAAATTAATCTTCATTTCAAAATGAAATGTAACATTCATGACGACAAGACTTTCCAAAATAAAGTGCACAGGTAAATAAAAGAAAAACTTGATAGAAATCGTGTTTTCATGATCCTAGCAAAAATAAATGTAGTTATAAGTATTGAATGCTTCTTTTAAGTAATTTTATAGGGTTGTAAAAGCGATGACCGTGCGCACATTTTTAGAATGAAGCGCTTCCGCGCTTCATACAAAATGTACTTAGGTCAACACTTTTATACCCCAATAAACTTACAAAAAGAAGCATTCCATTCTTGAATATATATCATAAGAATGATATGTTTTGGTTGCAATTTGACCAGTAATTTCAAAGGAAAAGACTTTTGCAAAAGTTTACAGTCGACTACAAAGAAAGATATGGGATGATATTAAAATGTCAATATTCGTGAACAATTGAGAGGTCTTTTCTTTTTGGCGATGTAAAATACATGTTTAAATAAGCGTAGAATGCATTTAAAGCTCTAAAACACACATAAAACCCTTAAAATATGGTCAAAAACACATAATTCGCAACTTGGGACATGACCTTGACTTTTGACCTTATGACCTAAGACAAGGTCAATGGTCCACGATGTCATTACAAAAGACCCCATGGGTATAGGATCTTTCGTTCAAGAGTTAAAGCTAATTTTGTCTTTTCAAAAACCGTGAACGGAGGTTATGCTCCTTATGGTTAGGTCAAATCTCTTCGTTCAAAATGTTAAAAAGGTTGCGCCTTAATGACCCAAACATTATTCACTATTTCGGTAAGTAAAATGGTTTTTTAGATATCGTATTAAAAATTGTGAGGTCAAAGGTATAGGTCAACCTTAAAAAAGCTTTAAAACACAGTTAAAATACTTTAAATAAGGTACAAAACACATAATTTTCTATCTGGGACATGACCTTGACCTTTGACCTTGTGACCGATTTCATTGCAAAAGACCCTATGGGTCTAGGACCTTTAGTAAAATAGTTAAAGCTAATTTTGCCTTTTCAGAAACCGTTAACTAGGGTTATGCCCCTTACAGCAAGGTCAAATCTCTTCTGTCAAAATGTAACAAAGTAGCGCCTTAATGACCCTAACATTTTCCACTATTCAAGACTTCTGTAAGTTTAATGGTTTCTGTGATCATCCCATAACAATGTGTAAGATCAAAGGTCAATGTCAACGTGAAAGTTTGACCTTGAGGCATTTTCAAGTACACATAAATTGATGATCATTGGTGAAGATCCTAGGTGGCTATGACTTACGGTTTCTGAGATTTAGTGGCCAACCAACATCGGTTAATTTTCAAAGGGGCATAACCCTACCAATGAGTCGTTGAATCTTTTCGATCCAAATGTAACGAAGAGCTAAATTCTGGTCCTGAACAAATTCCACCCTTCGCTTTTTTTCTACCTATTATGGTTGCAGTGTTTGAATGATAACAAGGTTTTCGGTGTTGGGGGAGATAGCCGCTATGAAGGAAATGTTATGGAGTGGTGGTGCCCTAATCACAAGATTTGTTTTGGTCAACCGATACTTCATACCTAATATCATTTCAACATGTCGCAGAATCCAAGGGAACCTGTTACCATGGCAACGGGGCCATAAACACATTTTTTGTCAACATATTTCTTGTTTGTTTATCGATAGCTACCAACAAACAAAACTTAAAGAAAATCTGAGACTATGTGTGCCGCAACTTGGTTGGTGGTAACAGAGAATTACTCTTAATATAATATAAGACTAGTTTAAGGTAGTATGATACACCAACTAATGCGTACTACATGAATGAATGCTTGTCATGTACGCTATAATTAATTTTTTGTTTGGAATATAAGCTTCGCAACAACCAAGTATGTGCCGATTTTAATCATAAACTGAATTTTTTTATTATTCAGTAAACCAATATTACTTGTTATTTGGTAGAATTTTAGGGACTATATGCGTACGCGACTTCAGTTGTACTACTCAGAACAGAATATTTGAAAGCCAAACAAGATGTAAAAGACCGGTTTGAGCCCTTTAAATTCCATCTTGTTATAAACATTTGTAGCGGTTGTTTTAGGTTGAATATTATAGGCAGATTGTCGACATGTACCAAAACACATCACATAAGCCTCTTAATTCACGGTAGGGATTGAGAAAAGAATTTCACCCATCAAACTGACAATACGATATGCATACTCTTTATATATATAGATTCATTATAAAGATCGCAGGTAAATTTGTCAGCTGGGTGTTTCCCATCAGTTTATATAACTCGTGTTGAGAAGGGACACCGGTAGTTTGAAAATATATGGTGACATATATTGATGACATCAAGAGTCCAATGAAAACAATGCTAAAACAGACCTTAGATAGTACATGTTTTCAGTATCTCAACATGAAGCATACGAATAACATCCCTTTCAAACTGTATAGGTTACATGATTAGGTGGCGATTGACCCAAAATTCTTATTGTTTGTCAATTATAATTGCACCTTTAGTGTTTTTAGATATTGTCAGGAGAAACATTATGATTCTGAAAAAATCACATATTTTGGTCAGTTTTGAAAATGGACTCGTGATCGGATTTAAAACAGAGGTGTATCGTTCATCTTACTTATTTACATGCAATTTGTATTATGCAACAAAAATGTTTGTGTTGAATGATTATTGTTCCGGTCAAAATTTTGCCATACATTATGAAGGACACAGTTTTTAATCATTAGGATATGACAGAATTTTTATAGAGCTATTTGATGTATGTTTGCCCCTGAAAATCAGTTCCTCAGTTTGGTGTTATTATCGCTGTTATTTGTTAAATTAATGAAGACTTTGTTGTCAATATTTCTGTTTTTTGGTTTGATTAAATACTGTAAACCAACTCATTTTCGCGGATATTTTATTTTGCGTTTAGCCAATTTAAGCCGAATTCGCGGCGCTTTATTTTCGCGGTTTTCTAATTTTCTTGATGTATTTATATAACAGAAAACCAATTAATTTTCTATTCGCAAATGTCGCGAAAATAAATCGCTCGCAAAAATTAGTTGGTTTACAGTACTCTATTTTCTAATCTTTTCAGATAAATAATTATACTAGTCTTACCTCTTTAAAAGTGTGACCCGGTGCATTCTTTATAGATCGGATAGCAAACACTGGAATAGGTATCAACGGTAGCAATGCTACTATAAATCCGAATGCAATAGCTGCATTCGGATACTGATAATCACCATGTGTTGGAGCCTTATAACTCACCATTCCACTGATAAAAATTGTCTGCAAAAGATCATAAATAAATGAAGTTGAATGAGTTGGTTTATTTATTCTATAACTGACAGACACATAACAAAGTACAGTTGGGATCAGTTTAAAACCTTTAAAAATACGTCAAATACTGTTAGAAGAAATGTTCACAGACATTCCCTACAATAGCTTTCTTTAAACAAGCATAGGACGTTTTCTAGCATAGTCTGTTCTATCCTGGAAAGTTTCGAACAGTTTAATGTTGGCTTCTTGAAGTTATGCTATCATCATACTCAAATGTTTGAACTATCGCAGACTTTCTGAACGACTATAACTTCTCTTATGCATGATCAGACAGTCGCTCTCATTTACATGAATTATGGATTGTTTTGGCCTAGAACAGATTTTAACAATTCTACATTGTACCCTTAAACGGACCGTACTATCTCTAGCTTAAAACAACTTTCGACAGTTCTGTCCTTAACTCGGTTCGACATTAAGACAGTACACTTCTGATTCTATGTTTAAACTGATCCGAACTCTAGTTGTATACATGTAGAGTGTTTTGTTTTTGGTTTTTTTACCAATTTTCAATAGAAATGAAGTATTTATTTTTCACTTGCCATATGAAACATATGTTTTTGTCAAGAAATTTAGATACAAACAATTTAGTTAAAAAACATGGCACTTACAAAATATCAATTGTCGGTGCCTAACATAAAAGGAGAGAAGACATATTTTTCAATCATAATAAGTGAATAAAACATTCAATTGTCAAAAGATAAGTAGCTCGAATTAAATATTTTCTGTATAGAAGAAAACGTTGATATTCTAACTTTATTTGATTAATATGAACAAATGTCTATATCCCTCACTGGCATACAGAAACCCGTCATCACGAGTCTTAAATCAAGAAGGGAGATGTCACTGTGATTCTACTGAATTATCCTTGTCAAGCTATTTTCTGTTTTAAACGTGGACTTACGTATGTATTATCTTCATGTTTGTCTTTTATATGAATAAAAGGAGATTCGGATATATAGCAATAAGACGGCGATCCAACTAAAGAAATACCTAAAAGACATTTTGAGGTGTAACTCATTAATACAAAAACTATTCAACCTTTAACATGGTGAGGCCACCATTTGGTCCCTTTCGCCAATTCAAAAAACACAAGTCATACAGTCAAATCATAATCATTATGTATGACATTCATCTGTCAAATATCGTTAATAATGTAAGAGTAAATTATGTGTGTGGCTATATACTTCTAATCAGGTCTTATACTGTCTAAAAGTAAATTAACAAAAATACCGAACTCCAAGGAAAATTCAAAACGGAAAAACCTTTATCAAATGGCAAAATCAAAAGCTCAAACACATCAAACGAATAGAAAACAACAGTTACTGTCATATTCCTGAGTTGGTACAGGCATTTCCTTATGTAGAAAATGGTGGATTAAACCTGGTTTTATATATAGCTAGCTAAACCTCTTACTTGTATGACAGTCGCATAGAATTTCATTATATTGACAACAATGTGTGAGCAAAACAAACAGACATAATAGGTAAAAATGTCAAAAATTTGAGTACAGCTGTCAACATTGTGTTATATATAATCTTGATCACTATACAACAAATAACTATTTCAACAAAGAAAAACATAAATTCATATGCGCAACATTTCCTTTTAGTCATGGTCACAACTTTAGTTATTTTTGAGATTGGTTATTTGAAAAATATGCATTTTTTTCAAAACACTCTTAGTTAACGACATATAACAACGGGGCCTCTCTAATATATATGAATAAAATTTATAATGTCAGAAAATCGACAATGAAATGTCCACGACGTTGACCATAAAGATTGATAGATTGGTCGAAAAATTGCTGGTAAATTTCAATAAACATCAAAGTACTTATTTGTGCCCCCTAAATCACAACTTAAATCATAATTCTAGCTATGTTTTATACATGTTTTTCTATCACCTTATGTTGACTACATACATTCGTGTACATTTCTTTAACACAGAGTGGCTAAAAAGCTCTATATGTAGATGGCGGTATATTAGCCAACTGTATAAATTGTCATGATTAGTTAATTTATTAGCAATACGCCGGACTTTAGTAAAGAGATGCCTTAAACCTCCTTAGTATTAAATGTGTTTTGTTTAAGGTAATTGACAGTTGAATGACAGACAGATATTTTGTTATAGTCATTTATATTTTCATCTTTACAAGAATTTTTCGTTCATTTTTGCTTAATGTCACTCCACTATAGATTGTCTTACCAGAAGTAGTAAAGGTGCAATAAAACAAATACATATCCTGAAATATATCGGAATTCCTTGTCCATTCATCATTTCAAAATCTTTGGAAAGCTTATTTGTACCTGAAGAAAAAATCATTTGATTATAAATATTTACTGTTTACTATATACAGAGGAGATAGCTCAGGTTTTATTTTTCGTTTCGCTTTTTCGGAATCCCTAACTCGTATAGAAACAACTAACCATTTTGGTGTGTTGATAAAGAGTTATAACATGTATAACTCGAAAAATGAAAACATTTCGGAGGGTTTTCACTCCGCTCATTACTTTTCGCTTAGAGCATTTCATATGAAAAGTTTATCCAGCTTCAAAAGAGAGAGGCCGAATCCGTATACTTCCATTCGTCTTTTTTAAACTTAGTGTATTCCAGATGAAAGTTCGTCAAGCTGCTCACAGTAAACTCTTGATATTTTTATGCCAAAAAAGTGTATAACATTTCTCAAAATTTTGATTAACATTATGAACTTACGTACGCGGATAGAATGAATGAAGTAGTGTATGCGTTCACGTTTGAAACTTTCAGTCGTTTTTCCTGAGATTGTTTTGATGAAATGAAATTCGAAAGTAACAAGTATATAATATTGCACAGCAAAAGCGTCTTCCGACGTTGAATGTGTGTAATCTACAAGCCTGCCATATGAGACTTATCTCCGATATAACGGTTAATTTCCGCCATGAAAAATATTCACCTTATTATCGGTTGCTACGTTTTACAATCTTTCAATAAATCGGACCAAATTTTAAACGTTTACTTCTCGCTTCATGCATGTTATATGTAAAATGAACTCACATGTAGTAAAGCAGCAAACATTATAGATATAAGATCACCTTCACTTTTTTTCAAAGTTCAGCATTAATGCTTAAGCTGTTAAAGAGGCGTCCCTACAGCTGTGCTGCGTGTATAAATACGCAGTAACGTCCGATAGGAATGATGGCGTGTGAAATGTAAGATAAAAAGTTCAGAAGAGTAAACATGGTAAAGGATTTTAATGTCGAACTGGTTTCCATACACAATTAAAGTCTTCTATGGTTTAATTGGTTTCCTCTGTCACGCTGCACTGCTGATGTTGTATATTTTACTGTCCACGTAAGCATTAACCTACACAAGCTGTAATTCCGGGGTATAGAAATTTGACCCATTTTCCCAGACTGATAGGTGGGACCTCCTTCTCCACGTAGGCGAAGTTCATAGCTGTTCGGGATTTATCATATACACAACCCGTGTTTGGAGTATATAACGATCCTAACATTAAAAAGGCACACAAGTATAATTCATAAATGTAAGATTTATTGTAAATGTGGCGGGGCCGATGCCAAGGAAACTACTCAACTCTACGTGCACTTTATGTGGCAGTCAATATTGGTTCCCCTATTGTGTTCAATCCAATTCCCATTTTTTATTTGATGAAAGATTTGATTGTTGTTTGCTAAATGTGAATGAAATTGTACCCAATATCAATATTTAGCTTTATCTTACCTGCTACACATTTCTAGGAATATGATTGGTTAAAAGCAACCGCGTGGAGACCGTGTATATTTCACATGGGATTAGTAGGCGAGGTTTATTTCAATACACGGTTAGTAGTGGTGTTACGTCCTTTTGTAAACACAACACGGTGTCGAGGAAAAATCTGAAAGGTTTCAACAGACGAAGAAATTGATGATGAACGATTGAAATAAATGCAGAAAACACATTAAAGGCTAACAAGTTTATTTTAAACAGAATATGATGAAGGATGTCCTTCTTAAACAATTTTTAATTTATACTCTAGATATTTTCAAAATCTGTCAAAATTTTGTTTTGAACCATTTACAGGCGTTTATAATTTGGTTACATTCATGTCAGGGGAGGATCGAGGATTTTTGAAAGGGGGTGTAATTCCAGAAAAGTAATGATATACAGTCGAGCGTATTGAGGTACGCCCTCTACGCCTTATTCTGGATCCGCCACTGAATATCTTCAGAAATAAAGCACTATATTGTAAGAAACTCAAAGAAAAGACATGAAGCTGCGATAAAGTGAATTATAGACAACATTGATTTTTTTTAATAATTTCCCTGGTGTGATATAATTTCAAGCCAAATTGCACAACCTCTTTCAAATCTGACGTATACAGTATTTAGTTGTAAAGAAAACATTTACCATAAATCCACCCAAACACGATGCACTCTATCATTCCGATAAATGGCAGAGAAAAGGAACAGTACCAGTCCATTATTTGAAATAAGTAGATACCTGCCTTAAAAAATAAACAAAAATATATCAGTTTGATCTGTAAGAAAGACACTTGTCTTTTCATTGATGCCTGTATGTTTACCTCTAGATGTTTTTTGTTTATAGTGTGTCACTGCCTTATTGACATAAATCTCACATTCTCTACTCAATGTTATGCCAAACATGTACTTTCTTCTTTTATCTACATATTAAATTTTAAATATTTTTAATTTTGTTTATTGTCCGGATTTGGCTATACTTTTAGGTCCTTTCCGGTTTGATCAGATCTTCAACTTTTATATTAGATTTCTACGGTTATCAAATATTTTGGGCTCCAGCATCACTGAAAAGACATAAACTGTAGAACTGCGCATCTGGTGCAGTGCAATTGGTATCGTTTGTGTTATCAATGTCGGTATAAATTCCTTTAAGATGTTCATCTTGTAAGTCTTCGTTTTATATGTGTAGTCTTATTTTAAACATGTATCTTCTTTGTATGCTTTAGGAGTTTATTTACAACCTCTGGGTCGATGCCACTGCTGGTGGTGGTTTCTATCTTTCTTGATATGGTCATATTCATAAATTAACTGTTAATAAAACTCTGAATTTTTCAAAATACTAAGGATCTTCTACCTTAGGAATAGATAACCTTAGCTGTATTTGACAAAGACTTTCGGAATTTTTGGGTCCTCGATTCACTTCAATTTTGTTCTTAATTTGTTTTTTTTTTAAATGTTTTGTTTCGAGCGTCACATATAAGTCTTTTTTAGACGAAACGCGCCTCTGGTGTACAATATTTAATCCTGGTATCTATGAGGAGTTAATTTATATTGTCAAAATCTCAAACTATATTTGAGTGAATACATACCTGGAAGCAGAACATAATTCCAGACAATGCAAAAAACCCACACAATACAATGATCACAATTGTTCTTTTCCTCAACAAAGAAGGCCATATGTCAATAGCTGCTATTACAACGCACTCAAAGCTACCAAACTGAGAAAAGAGTATATTGTCTTGCTGATTATACAAGTGATCTATAGTCGATCTTTGATGTATATTGTAAATATGGTAAACTTGACTTCTCCGATCCCGCAGCAAGACCCATGCTTAAGAGTCACGTTCGTTTGAATGTGTGAGCTGTCTACATACGCACACAGGCGCTTGGGTATATGATACAAAAAAATGTTTTTTTATGTTGATTAAAATATTCAATTTTCTATATTTATACTACATATCTATCACTACTGCGCATGTCTCACCTAGTTTCGAGTGATTTTACCAACTTTGAGACAAACCCCCATTTTACTATCCACACTAAGAAACAAAAAGGCAACTAACTCGACGCCATCTTGCGTGCTATAAATAAATATTAAAATTGACCTACCTGGATTCCCCATCGATTTATATGGAAAACATGCCTTTCTCGCAGTCCGATCGCAGACGTCGTTTCTATTTATCGAATTGGTACTGTTCGTAACATTTTTAGTCCATCTCAAGCATATAATAAAAAGATTTTCACTATTTTCACTAAATTCAAATTTACGTGCCCGGAAGTTTACTGTTAATATTCAGGGGAAGTTACTTTTTCCCGAACTTTTGTTCAAGGGAAGTAATATTTTCCCGGACTTTTTCGGAACATCTCTGCAAGTACACATAAAACAAAGAAAGGGATACGATGATTTCCGAACTATTATTAAAGAGGCGCAACTTGTTTGTTGCTGAAAAAAGAAAAGATCTGTTTTAGAAATAATGGCAAGTCAACCAAAGGAAGAAATTACGAAGGAAAACATAGTTTCATGGTAATTTATGAATATACAAATGCTCACACATAATTGTTTTATGTGTACTTGCAGAGATGTTCCGAAAAAGTCCGGGAAAATATTACTTACCTTTAACAAAAGTTCGGGAAAAAGTAACTTCCCCTGTTTATTAACAGTAAACTTCCGGGCACGTAAATTTGAATTTAGTGAAAATAGTGAAAATCTTTTTATCATATGCTTGAGATGGACTAAAAATGTTACGAACAGTACCAATTCGATCAATAGAAACGACGTCTGCGATCGGTCTCCGAGAAAGGCATGTTTTCCATATAAATCGATGGGGAATCCAGGTAGGTCAACTTTATTATTTATTTATAGCACGCAAGATGGCGTCGAGTTAGTTGCCTTTTTGTTTCTTAGTGTGGATAGTAAAATGGGGGTTTGTCTCAAAGTTGGTAAAATCACTCGAAACTAGGTGAGACATGCGCAGTAGTGATAGATATGTAGTATAAATATAGTAAATTGAATATTTTAATCAACAAAAAAAGAAAAGAAAAAATGTTTTTGTATCATATACCCAAGCGCCTGTGCATACGCAGCCGCGCCCGATCGAATTGGATACCTCATTTTGGTTATGTATCGCATACTATATACGTTTAAGAACACTTAAGGAGTTTGATTATGAATTGTTGCAAGGCAAATGTCTTGTTAAATATTATATATCATCTTTGTTTAACTGAAGTTTTTGGTTACGGTAGTTTACTTTGAACTTGTGGTAACATCAACTTAAAACTTTGTACACAAAAAAAAGTCATGTTCATTGACAAATTATGGTTTTGACTTAGATTTCATGGTTCACCAAACACTAAAATGTGATTGCACGAGCGGGGCATGGTATCTTCTGGACATATACTTGTTATGATCTGTAGTTGACATTACTATATATACCATCATTTTGATTGACAATTTCGATAGTTAGATTGTGTCGATCTTTCAATTCTATTGTCGCATATGGTGCCTTGCAAAATTTACTCCTCTGTGGTCAGCTTTCGTGTCCTCTAAGATAGTTTGTCATAATGTTTAATTGATAATACCAATTCGCCATTTTGATTTGACATTTATGCGGGAGTTATGGAACTTTGACCTGTTATAGCATATTTTAATACGCATACCTGGGGTGTAACGACGTTTGTATATATAAAGATTATAAGTCATTATGTAGTGTTGACCATGCAATACTAAAATTATCATTTGATGGTTTTAGTAAGAGTTGTTGCGATCTTTTTTGTTTTATTTGCGAATTATTGCATGCATCACCTCACCATGAATGTATTTGATCTGTTTTATGAATATGATGAGTATTATTTATGTTATTCTGGTAGTTTTTTAATGGTTTTTTTTCAATATCAACTAGTGTTAAGTATGATAAATTAATGTTTCTTTCTGCTCTTTGTGATTTCCGTAGTAGGCTACTATCAAAACTGTTATATTGCACAGTTATAAAACGGCGGATGAAAAATGGCTACGGCGTAGTATTCGTGTTCAATTTATCCTAATCCTGAATATGCATTGCAAGTTTGCCATCGGACATTTTGCAAATATCGATAACTCGTTGCAACAAACTACAATTACTCCATTAATTGATAATTACTTTAATTTATTACTTACTCTTGAATCAAGGGCTAAACTTAGCAACATGATAAAGAATAAAATGGTCCAGATGTTTTGTCCAGGAAGGTGTGCTAGAGCCTCTGGATACGCAACAAAACCGAGTCCAGGACCTAATAAAATATTGTATGTAATTAATAACCGTTGTCTTAGTTGATCTGTTTTTTATTTTTTTTACTAATAAAACATACTTACACGTTTTTACTTACGGATCTTTGAAACAAAAGAAGTAGTAGGTTTCAAAAAACAATTGCGATTTTTTGCCCTATCCACATCTCATCTGTTTCCAGGTGATGTTAAAAATTTCAAATTTATCAAAAGTTGGCTCGTAAAGACCATCAACATTACCAAAATTATTTGAGTAATCATTCACGATTACCTAAGAACTTGACATTTTTTGGCTTCGTTGCAAAAGATCATGCCTTTATGTATTGTTGTGTTTTGCGTGGTTGAACAAAATCTACTTAGACGAACAGTCATCGATATAAGAGAACAGTATGCGTGATTTCATATAAGGAGAAGTTTTTTTAAGCAGGTTTACAGCATTTGCGAGCATTCTTTGATACTGACTTCTGTATTATCGTTTTCATTATATTTGACTTTCTTTATTAACCATACCGGAGTGAAGTGTTTTTCTTGTACTGAATTTTATTTTTTGCCTTTTGTATTACTGATCTTCAATTATCTATTAAAAAAGTATTTGACAATAATTTACCTCATAAATTGAATAATAATAGGATCCCCCCCTCCCCCCCCCCCCCCCCAACACAATAATGTCAATTTGGGGATGTTTTAAATTATGATCAATTTAATATCAGAATACGGAGTTTTATGTATTATGTAAGCTCATTACAAGGAACACAGAGCCGGGCTTAGTTTCTATGCATTACATTTATTTCTTACCTGACTTTACGACATCTTCGATCGGAATAGAATACTTCTTTGCTAAATATCCTAATACAGAAAATATAACTGCACCGGCTAAGATGCTTGAACCTTCACACACAAAGGTTAGTATACACGTATCTCTGTAATATACAAATGAAAGAAAAGTTATATTTCTAATTGCAAGCAAACATGTTTATTTGGATGGAAAATAGTTTATAAAGATTATATTTATGCCCGAGGCAAATATGAACGATGAAGGAGAGATAAAATCAGAAACATTTCAAGTTTTTTTTTTAATAATCCGTACTTAATTTCTATTTGGTATAAACTAAACTCAAATTTATATGTTGTTGCTATTCACATGAAAGTTATATGTTGGTTTGCAGTAGTATTCACTTTTTAAATTATCTACTAACGGAACACATTTGTACAAACGTTATCTCTCTATCAACATTATTTATATGTTTTATTGGTATAAAAATTGGTTTGTGTTCTTCACTGAGCCCTCTCTGAGCAGATTCAAATGGGTTAGGTTTTAAACTGTAGACATTGTAAAAAATCAAAAAAGTTAAATTTGAGTTTAGTTTATACCAAATAGAAATTAAACTAACGTAAAAGGTACTGTTCATGTGCACTCCTAGCTGAGGAACCGTAGATCTCAGGTCCTTATGATAATTTTCGACAATTTGGAGGGAGTCCGCAAATTGTCAAAAAATATCATAAGGACCTAAGAGCTACGGTTCGGCAGCAAGTGCACTACTTAGTCAGGAACCCTCTCAGTGATTTTTCATTCTTTCTTATTATTTATGTAACATCTGATTTTTATGTTAAATCGAGATTTTTTTTATTGGTTTAGAATTGGTCATATTGTACATTTATAGAAACCTGTCTGTTGGTGAAGACCGTAGCTAGTTTTGTGTCGCTAGGTTGTTGTCTCATTTGGCGTATACCCTACAAGTCCTTATGTTCGTTTAGATTTTGTCAAAATGTCAAAATGGTAGAATTTCATTTTAGTTTATTGAAAATAGAAACTTATCTAATGAAAGAAGTCTGCTAAATATTATATAAAAATAAGGAGATGTGGTATGATTGCCAGTAAGACACCTATCCACCGAAGTTCGTGTTTACTAAATAAAATAACCATTACTCTGAACTAAAACTGGTACTTACCTGAGAGTGTTATTGTGAAATTTATTGAAACTGGAAAATGCATACAGCGCACCATTACTTATGCCCAAGGAATAGAATACTTGAATTGCAGCTGATACCCACACCTAAAAATTGTAATTAATGTAACACGTACATGTAAAACGAGATTATGATCGTTAAATGTTTTTTGATGAATGTTTCAAAATCATTTCGTTTTTGGTGAATACATTTTATTGAGAAAAAAAAATCATCAACAATGGTTTGTCATCATTTTTATTGTTTTTACATGTTGTCCTGAATGGAGTTGGAAGTGTTTGCTTTTGTACTGATAAAGAAATCAATTTTGTAGAAAAAAAATATTCACATCTTTAATCATAATCGTGTATTGATAGTTTTGAAACTGACCGTTGGACTGGTTCATCATTGTGTCATGATAACAAAATAACATTTAATAAAAAAAAAAATAAAATTTTGAAAATTAACAGACCATCCGACCATCTAGAGGAGGAATTGTACACTACAAAGTCATGGATGAACATTTTGACTTCTCAACACGAAAATAAAAGGAAACATCATCTCATGATAGCTGGTATATATATTGACAGAAGCAACTATCGAATGAGTTATTTTGCCTCCAAGAAATTGGCTCCATCTGAGAGGTATGACTCTCTCCCCTCGTGGAGTCTCAGTTTGGATGTGGTGAATTATAAATACGCCGGCATTTCCGGGTGGAAATTGGGACGTTTAATCCTGAAAATTCGTTATTGGGGAGGTAGAATTGGTGCCTTTATGTGGAAATGGTTTTCCTCAAAGCACGTCTAAAAACCCTTGAAACAACTCTCTGGGAGATATGTGGGTGGCAGAATGAGTGCCCCATCCAGTATACTCTAATTTTTATATGGACTTCCTCCTTTTTGAATTTGTCTTGAATATCTGTATTTTTGTTACACCTTTTTTTCCAGTTGTGGTCTCAAATTCCCGTCCTTCTTCCAGTTAAACCACTGGACGCTATGTAAACATCCAATAAAGCTATTATACTACACTTAGGTAAAGTTATGAAACATCTGTTTCACAGATACGATGGATACGGTCCAATTGTCGTAACCACAGTCCCGTCCTCTTTTCCTCGAATTTGACCTACCGAAATAAACTTATCACCAGATTTGTAATTACATGAGTAACACGACGGGTGCCACTTTGCTTACCCTTCTGGAGCAACCGAGATCACCCCCGGTTTTTGGTAGAGTTCGTATTGCTCAGTCTTTAGAATTCTATGTTGTGGTCTGTGTACTGTTATATGAATAATAAAGAAATGTGATATGATTGCCAATGAGACAACTATCCACCAAAGTTCGGCACAATACAAAGACAAACTATGCAAAACAACTTACGAAAAAAAATATGAGAAACAGCAAAAAACGACATCCTCTCAATTACAGGCTTTTGTCTTGAAACAGGCATATATAGAATGTAGCGGGGTTAAACATGTTTGAAGCCGCCAACCTTCCCCTAACATGGGACAGTGGTGTAATAGTACAACATAAAAAAGAACTAAAAAAAAAACAGTTAAACACGGCTTAACTCATCAGATCGATACAAAACAGAAAAACATCTAACAAAAATACAGACCAGACGTGGCAAGGTATTTATACATTTACTATATATACATCCATCACAACACAAAGTACAGATCTGAAAATGCTCGCAGTAACTGATAGCTAGTTCATAACCAATAACAACTAATAAAAAAAATCATATATTTAAGACTAAAAGATTTTAGTTGTTTGTCTTTTTGGCGTTTTTCGTTTTTTGCCATGGCATAGTCAGTTTGTTTTCGACTTTTAAGGCTGAATATCTTTCTCGATCGCCTCTCTTTAACGAGTATTGACAAAGATGAGATGTTTAGTGTAGTACTTCTTGTCTTGGTTTGACAATCGCGTGCTATTATTACACACTACTTACTTTAAATGTAAAGGCTTTTGAAAAATCCGGTTTAAAGAAGAATATTATGCCATCAACTGAACCGTCAAGAGTAAGACCATGAACCAAAAATATAAATAGAAGTATGTATGGAAGTATTGCTGTCACATAGACTATCTGCAAGTAGAAACATAAAATTGACATCGTGATAAAAGTTAAATGCAATCAGCTCGGTATAGTGTTCGGTATATTTTCGTGGTAACCGATCAAGTATGATAATCTAAACGAACAAAATAATTTACAAAGCTTCGTATTTAAATACTTTTCATGATAAAATTTTGAATATATAAAAAAAAGAACATTTACGATAAAGACGAATACAAACTGTCATATTAAGTGATTATTTAATTTTTACTTCAACATTCTTTTGATTAAGCTAAGACAGTATACACGCAATAACAACTGTAAGTTAAAAGACCTAAGAGATTTTTGTTTTTTTACAAACCTTGCCAATGCTTTTAACACCTTTGATAACACACAACCCGACAATTAACCAGATCAAAAATAAACACAACATCATCTTCCAGTTTAAAGTACCGAATTCACCGATCCCAGAAGACATCTGGAGCACATTCTCCCTGGACAAAATACAAGGTTTATTACATTTCTACAATCTAAATTATTCAATGTTGATTTCAATCCAGTGGACATCTTTTGAAAACACGCTTTTCATTCCACCCTTACATTTCAACTTTATTTTACTATTGAGTCGTTTTATATATTATTTTTAAAAATCGCTTTTTCCATATTGTTATATTAACTCTCAAACAATATTTTGACGCGGATAATTTAAGTTGATTTTAATTAGCGGTAAATTTCTATAACAAGAATATAGAATGTTTTATACGAATAAATTAGTATCCTGTAAGTGATTTGCACTCGTTTGATTGATTGATTGATTGTTGGTTGCTTAACGTCCAGTTGTGTACTCGTTTGAAGCAGAATTAATATAAAACCGCTTTCAAATTTATAACTTGATTGTTACTCACAAAAAATAGGGGGTTCCTAGGTTGGAAAAGAAAATTGAATAAGTTAGTTAACTTGTTTTTTTTTATACTTTTATCATTTATCATAACTAAATGTCTGGTAATTTACCTCCAAAATTCTTCCGGTGCCGTAATCCAAGACAAATTTGTGGTACAAACAACAGTCGTGTTCACAGAACTTGCATTGTACTGCTTGTAATTTATTACACCACCAATCTCATTTGTGGTCACGTTTTGGTATTTTGGCAGACATTTATACCCTTGATGCGAAATACAGTTTGGACTATTCCATTCGTTGTCACAGGTTGTCCAGGGTAGGGGACTGACAAAAGAATGTCCAATATAATATAATATCCAGGCGTTGATTATGGTATAAATGACACCATAAAGGAAGATAACTGCTGTCATGGAATATCCTACTCCTATAATTAAAGATAAGGAATCTTTGAAATTTATCAGTACAAATATGGATGATACATTTAGTACCGAAGAGAAGACTTCATCTATGAAGCTACATGTATTATTATTTTGAATTTGAGCAGCAGACACTTAAAATTAGGTTTAACAAATAATTGTGGAATGATTCATTTAGTTTATAATTCATTTTTAATTCATTGTTCCATTGATTTCATGCTTATCCGAGTTGATACAGAGGGGGGAGGACCTTTTACGGGACGTCGGGATTCGGCCTTTATTTTTGCGGGAATTCGGGATGACACCCTCCTACCGCCCCTCGATACACCTTTTTAATATAAAACAAAAATAATCACGTTGATGAGAAGTTCAGTGTCAAGGTGTGGCTGATAAGTAATGGAAAAAAGTCCATGTGCACGATTGTAAAGTTTTATTTTTTTCGTTCCGATGTTTTTTGTTGTTGTACAAAGTAACACCCTGTAAATGCGTTCGTATACCCATCTGTTAAAAACTTGTAGGATCTGCTTACCCTTCCGGAGCACCTCCATGAGGTCAGTCCCGGTTTTTGGTTGGGTTCGTGTTGGTTATCCAGTCTTTAGTTTTCTATGTTGTGTTTTGCATTGTTTTGTGTATTGTTGTTTGTCTTTTGGTCTTTTTATATTTTTGCCATGGCGTTGTCAGTTTATTTTCGACTTATGACTCTGAATGCCCCTTTGGTATTTTTTGACTTTCAAATATCAATATTTGTCATAAATGACGACGAAAAGCAGTCGCCATTCATGCGTAACGATTAATACCATAAACAATGAACCAATTCTGAAATATTGGTGTGTCACTGTTTTTGACGCTCTGATTGGTCCCAATGTCACGAGAAGCCAGATATGGTGCAAGAAATCGTAAGTATCCAAAATGAAAATTTGATTTCTGAATTTGTCGATAAATGTTGTTCGGAATATCTGTGCTTACCTTTCAGTAATGGACAAACATTAAATACATTTGTACATCCTTTCCCTAAAAACTGTCCAACAGATGCTTCCAGAAAGAAAATCGGCAAGGAGAATGTCACAAGACACACGATGTATGGTATTAAAAAGGCACCTGAAAATATATGTTTTCAAATATTATATCACAGACAATTATATCGTATTGTCGTACACAATACAAGTCGATATTGACAACAAATGATATGCAGAAGAAGGATAGACAAGACGAGTTCATAAAAAGAAGAAAAAACAATTCATAGTCCACAAATAACCTCATAAACACCGGTTTTATCTTTTATCTTACATTTATTACTTTTTTCTTTTTTTTTAAATTTCGTTTAATATTTTACGCTTTATGTGTTCAGTCTTCAGAAAATAGGAAGACGCTTATCATTTCTCGTTTGATTGCAGGTTTGACAATGTGCTATTTTCTAACCTCCTCCGTTCTTCATGCACACGTATGGAAATCGCCACAAGTTGCCAAGTCCTACACTCCAACCCATGACTGATAAAATATAATCCATCTTATGTGTCCATTGCCCTCTATTTATTCTTTCATCAACAGTTTTTGTCTTGCATAACGGCATCCTAAACGTCTATGATATGAATAAAAAATAAAAAAAAAACAGATGTGTGCTTACATAAAAAAACAACAATTAACTCACATAACCAGAACATACTTAAAATGAATATGCAAATACTTATATTTAAATTCAATTATTACTATAGTCAGCTTTATGTTTAATAATTTACATTCAGTACCAATTATACAAAACAAGAAATATATTAGTCAACCAGTGGCGGATTCACGTCCCCACTTACCTGTTGCAAGATAAATTAAATTTCTGCCTCTATTCAACATTTGTTAACCGTTGGTAGAAAAAAAAATGTGCGCATTTCATCTTGGTTGACCCACTTTCCAGAACCAACCTAGTGCTGTATTAATTTTATTGTCATTTATATTTACATGTGTTTTGTTAAATTATTCTCGCCTTGAATATGCGTGAAACTGATATTTTCCATTGGACGTTAAACAAACACAGTCAATGAGTATTTGTTTGAAACAAGTTAGTAGTTTAAAGCCATTTTACTGAAACTAAATTTTGCGTTTTTTTTCGAAAATATTTGTTTTTAAAATTCGCGACGTTAGGATGCAGTTCAAAAATCACCGGTTCCCATTCCCCGGTCAATACACTATGGACGTACCGCATGGTATGATTTTCAATAGATAAATTGCGAAAATGGAAACAAATATGTTACTAGCAACGATATTTTCAGATTTATGGGGGTACATGTACATTTTTTGTACCTAGTGTAAAATGGTTTTATTGCATTTGTATCCAGTATGTGTCAGAAGAAAATATCCTTCCAAGTTATTATGACAGAATTGTTGAAATAGCAACTGTATGATGGGTCCTTTTTGTACATCAATTCAACAATTACAACAATTCAAACATCTGTTTGCTCTTTTTTTAAGAAAATGTAATTTAAAGTTGCAATGAAATAAGTATAGAATTTGTCTCAATGGAAGCGTGAAGTAGTTTTTTTTCGTTTAAGTTTTAATGGTGCATGGCCCTGTCACCCATACTTTTAGAAATATTTTTCAAATTGGCATAATGATTTATGTATAATTATTAAATACCGCAATTTTAATGATTATTTTTTTGTTCATAATTGCATTTAAATATTATATATATATAAATGCAAGTTTAAGAGAAAATTGAATTTTAAATACATTGAAAACTAATTCATCAATTTATGGAGAATAAATTAGTTCCCTCTTCAAATAAAAACGTCATAATTCTTCATCATTTATGTACTTGCCAGCAAAAAAATGAAACCAAGGTTAAGTATTATACCTTCTCAATACTTCGAATCGACATTAAACATCAAAGTACTGAAGTACTGAACATCGGATGACCACAAGTTCTTGAGGATGGTCAAAAGCACTTGTCTCAGAAAAAAACAACATATCTCTTTACCTGAAACTGAGGTTAATGTACAGAGATATATTTTTTTCTGAGACAAGTTCGTGCGTGGATGATGAATAAATGACAGGAAATTCAACTTCACCGTAATAACTATTATATTGTAGTGATACAAATCAATATACACTGATTTTTTGTTATATATTATATTAAAATAACAGTTACATATATATATGATTTGCATCCATTTGTATATCATTCTGGTCTCCCATTCTAATAATAGTGCAATGCAAGAGCATGGTGGACACTTTTCTGTAAAAATTCGATTTTTCTCAGATTAGATACGAGTAGGCATTCATATTTTCCCGCAAAAACAATTACAGAGTTACCGGTCCTTGCCGATATTGTCGCAAAACGTTCTTTGAGATATTCTTCCGCATGCTTTAACACAATTTTTCGGTACGTGTGCATTGATATTATCAATGATTTTTTAGTTAGTTATATATATCTAACTACAAAACAATTTCATATTATTAATTTATGTTGTAAACAAAAATATTTTTATCAGTATTCATTGAAGAGATGTATTTATATCAAACGATAAGGAATGTTATTTTGCACTCGTTTATGAGAGCATATTTATCATGTTTATAGATCGGTTACAAACCCAAAACTAATTTACATAATGGAAATCTAGGCGATAGCAATGCATCGGAATGACCTCAAGGTCATCGCGATGTAAAAATTCAAAACAAGTAAGAAGGAATTGCAGGAACTATGTCCTATAAAGGGAGATAACTCAGATAAAGTAACTTTTATAAAGAAATGTGTTATTTTATTACATTTATGTACATGTAGCAGGAAAACGAGTCCCGTGACTCCAATTTTTCTTTTTCTTATAAAAGCATTTTATAGGATCTAACTTCTCATATTTTACATTAAAATTCTATCGTTTAGTTTTCTTTTTATTAAACAAAATTGGGTTTTCCATCTATAATCTTTACTAAATCAGACAATTTCCCACAGCTTGTAGCGTGACCCACACTTTTAAACTTTCGAAAATAACTCATCATAGAAATTTTGTACGCCAGACGCGCGTATCGTCTACAAAAGACTCATCAGTGACACTCGAATAAAAAAAATCAAAAGGCAAAATACATTTGTCAAGTAGGAAGTTGAAGAGCATTGATGACCCGATGTTCCGAAAAGGTTTTGCCAAAAACGGCTACGGTAATCTATTATTGGGGTTTACAGAATAGAGAATAAAGGGCAAAAGGTGAAGAATAATGGCCACAAACAAAATAAAGAATAGAGATAAATTTTAAAGAATTTGACGTAATGTTTAAAGTTTTTAAATTAACTTGTTTTCCTTATAATGACGTTATACCTCCATCAGCCTGAAAATGTTATGGCATTTCACACAGAAGTTCTTATTTCTATTACTGCAAAATATTGTATGAATATTTGTTTGCGTTATCTGGTTCTATTTAAATGCATTAAAAAAATCCTACACTGGACGTTTAGTAAGCAAGTGAACCATTAATAAAGTGAAGTAAATAAATAAAAAAAACTTACTAACCTGCTTCGCCGCTTGTATCTCAACGACTGATCGAGCAGGTCATTGAGCATAGCTAAATTGTCGTATATAAAATACTGTTGAATAAATTTATACTTCAGTAACTTTAAGAGTATTACATGACAACGACACGCATTAGTGAAACTGAAAAATGATTGAAAGAAATTATATCTTAAAATTTTTATTGACAAAATTGGTCTCTCATTTAAGATATTCATTCAAAATTTGCTATTTACCAATAGATAATAGATACAAAATAACCAAACACTATTACATATAGTTATTCCTGTTTTGTGTTTATGCTCTGAAACTTAAATTATTACTTTTCTTTCAAATTATTCAATCTTGAGTGTACATGTACTTAACTGAGTTTATTGCATAAACACATCTCATAAGTTTTTGAATGTAAATAAGGGTACTTTAGGTAAGGGTAGAAGTTTCATCCAGTTATAGTTACATTTTAAAACATGCAGAGCATTCTTCCAAATTTCAACCTGGTATTGCACATTTAAAAAGCAATCACAATTTACCGTACTAAAAGACAGAATCCCATTTGGCCATATTTAAACTATACATGTACCCCTGTTTCCTTTGAGATGTATTCTAATTAGTAGATGAAAGAATTGGGGAACGGAAGAGAATTGTATGTTACATACAATGAAGGGATGTTAATCTTTTAACTTGATATTACTTAGCGACCAGCGGCGAGTATGTCATGCATATACAGGTCGTCTTTCGTTGGGATTAAGGCCAAGAAACACGTGTTAGAGGCAAGTAAATCATATCATGTGTTTCTTAGTGTAATGGTTAACAAATGCAGTAAGAAACGGTCATTTAATTTATATAGACGGACAGACTAGGCAGTTGATTCTGTTTGATAGTTTGAAGATCATCATGGAACACGTTAAAACATTGAAAAAAAGATGCGAAAGAAAGTATAAGGACATTCCAACCTCAAATATTGAAGAGAAACTGACAAAACTTTGTCAAATAAACGAAGACATACAGTCTTAAATCACTTCATACACGTTAGAAAAATAAAAAATGTACCCCACCAAAATCTAAGAGTGATCTCAGTTGCTACGGAAGGGTAGGCAGAAACAGTTCCACATTAAGTTGTATTTTTCGTTTGCAGACATTTTGATTTAATTCATCTAACTAAATAAATCAGGTCGTTAGTTTTTTCATTTGAATTGTTTTACATTTGTCATTTCGGGGCCTTTTATAGCTGACTATGCGGTATGGGTTTTTCATATTGTTGAAGGCCGTACAGTGACCTACACGAGATAAGATATAAGATATAAACGGAACTGACATGAAAAACGTAAAACATTTCAAACAAGAAAACCAACGATCCGATCATGTACAAAACCATGGACGAAAACAACTATTTTAAGACGGGTTAAGACTAAAGATGTAGAGAACTTTCTAACAAGTTGTATAAAGTTTTAATTCTGATAATTATTTGACTTTGTCCATTCCGCTTACTGTTATTTACAGACACATACATGTATTATTTACGCTATATGACGCATAATTTCCGGAAGAGCTTAAAATATTTAATTACAAATGAACTGAAGTGAAATTCAAGAACATCTTGTGTGAAGAGCTTTTGACGTTCTTAAAACGGAAATCGTCACTTTCTGAAGAAGGCGTTTGATCACAAGTATATTAAAGTAAATACACATAAAGGGAAATTTGACATAGCATCGTATATGATCAGTGATCTACGAGATATCTACATCATAAAAGCTGTAAATTGTTCTGGTAAGTGTGATATTGAAATTACAATTTAGATATTTTGGTAAAAAAAATATTTAACTTTTATTAGAATTATAAAGCAAACATGATTTAAGGATGTTCGCTACTCTTGTTTTTGAATTTTTGCCAGATATTCGGAATCCGCTTGTTTTAACCATGCAGTCCCATTAAAAATTGTGCCCACTAACCCCTGCTTTTCTTTTCATAATTTGATTACATATAGTTTAAAATGTCATCTTTGATAATCCTTGTTATTTTTTCATCTCTTTTGAAAGAATAAAGGTGACCATGTTAAATGTATGAAAAATCTAGGGAGAAGTATTTCCCGCCAAATTTTCAATGGCTTATATCTCGAAAACAAGCACTCGGACCATTAATTTTTTTTCTGCTTTTTTAGTTTCTTTATTTATAAACTATCAATTTATAACAGTCTTTTAAAAAGCTTGTTATTTTGAAACAGATCAGCGAACATCCTTAATGCAATTTTGATCTGAACGTCACTGATGAGTCTTTTTCTGGCGTACAAAATTATTAGCCTGATATCATTGATGAAGTTTATTTTTACATTTCCCATTCTTTACGTTCCGCTATATAGATGATGTTCTCTCACTAAATAATACAACATTTGGTGACTATGTTGAACGAATCTATCCCCTCGAACTAGAGATAAAGGATACTACAGATACAGTTAAATCTGCCTCATAACTTGACTTACATCTAAAAATTGACAATGAGGGTCGGTTGAAAACAAAACTTTACGACAAAAGAGATGATTTCAGCTTCCCAATTGTGAACTTTCCATTTCTATGTAGCAACATTCCAGCAGCGCCTGTATACGGAGTATATATATCCCAATTGATACGATATTCCCGAGCTTGTATTTCCTATCATGATTTCCTTGATAGAGGATTGCTGCTCACAAGGAAGCTATTAAACCACGAATTCCAAATTGTGAAGTTGAAATCATCCTTTCGTAAATTTTACGGACGCCATCACGAGTTGGTTGACCGTTATGGAATAACCGTTTCACAGATGATATCGGATATGTTCCTTATGTCGTAACTACAATACCCTTCCCTTTTCACGAATGTGACCTACCGAATTAGACTATTTACCGGATTTGTAATAACATAAGCAACACGACGGGTGCCACATATGCAGCAGGATCTGCTTACCCTTCCGGAGCACCTGAGCTCATCCCCAGTTTTGGTGGGGTTCGTGTTGCTTAGACTTTAGTTTTCTATGTTGTGTCATCTGTACTATTATTTGTCTGTTTGTCTTTTTATTTTTGGCCATGACGTTGTCAGTTTGTTTTCGATCTATGAGTTTGAATGTCCCTCTGGTATCTTTCGTCCCTCTTTTAATTCCGTTTGGTAAACGTGTTAGATTATTATATTTGAGTGCATGCCAGGCTCAGATTCAGCCAAAAAAGGTTCTGATTTCCTTTGCAAGAAGAGTAAGGATTAGACGCAAGTTTCATCTTTTCGTATGTGTTTTTATAAACTATTTTGTGTATTTAAACCGCATCGGTAGTGTCGTGGACGTGTGTTCAACTCTATTGATGGATTCCGATCCCCGATCGAGTACACTATACATGAATGACGCAAATCAGGAAGCTAATTTTGCTTATTCACTAATCACTAATCACTAATATTTAGAAGTATGACATGTTTTGGAAATTAAAAACTTGTCGAATCGGAGTTAAAAGAATATGTCCGACAATAGGGCGACGTGTGTTCTTGCGTACTGTTTTTTTTAACCCTATGAACTAGCTCGATAAAATATGACAATCTATTGGTCTTGTGTAGAGCAGAAAATGTAAGACCGAAAGAAGAATCTTGTGTGAAAAGTCCAAAGCCTACTTAAACGGAAATCTATTTACTGATGAAAGCGTTTGTCCTATTTATACCACATTAACATCTTCGTTTCCAAAATATGCAAGCAGAATGCATGTACAATACTAACTAAAAAAGATGATAAAACACAATCCTATACATGCATTGCCTAAAGACTGGTTCCCTGTTCTTTAATTGTTGGGTTATGCTATGACTCAGATACCCGTATGTTGCAGAGAACCAGGCTGGCCTTGAAATTTTACTACTGTAACCTATACCAAATACTATTTCAGAATATTTTTAAGATTTTCTCAAAAAGTCAATCGATTGTTTTTTAACGTCCATGTGTCAGACATATTCAGGACGAAAACAAATTACAAGTAATTATAGTTCCAATATATAGGTTCCGGGATGAAGGGCGGTACAAATAGACTGTCACTGGAAAAAGGGCATGTAGGATAGGGTCAAAACATTTACTTGCAGCAGAAATCCGACGAACCCGCCTAAGACATTTATTTTGACGGTTTTTTTTTTTTTTCTAGAAAAGGATATTTACACAAAAACTATAATATTATAATGATATTTCTGGCAAGTTCTAAATTGTGAAATACTGCTTATACAAGAATATATAGTAATCGAAAATACAATTAAATTATTTTATATGCAAATTCAAAATTATATTCATTCAGGGAACCACAATCATGAAGATGCCAATACTATCTTGTATCATCTGGCTGGTTATAACTGTGGATCTTGCACTTACAGTACCAACTGCCTACAGACAAAAAGTAAGATACGTGTATTTACTGGTCCTTTTTATGTTTCCACGGCAGTTGTTTTATCTTTAGAAAATTTTATTTTATTAACTACATTACCAGATGATTTTCGGAAATAAATAGGAAATGTTTCTAATATAAATATATGTCAATAAGAAGACAGTCATGCATTTTGTTCCCACTATATTCCCACAAGAAACAGGTTTAAGAGATTTTCTTTACGTGGTGTGTATGAGTGTTTTACAAATATCTATTGGTGGGATTGCACAAGGTAACGTTTTTCACTTGACTGTTATTGACGTCTTTACACTAAATCCAGTGTATCTTGGAAGTGTACTGATTGATACTTTAGTCTTAGATTGATGATTCTTATAATAGTGGATATTGACTTTGAACAAGCTTTCAGTAACTGAGAGCTAAGCCCTTTTCAATTGTTTTTTTTTTGTTTTTTTTTAAATAGTTTGTTTTTATATTGTGCTGTTATTCCACTGTTCCAGGTTAGGAAACTGTCGGAACTCTTCTATTTGTCAATACATTTAGTGACATCTAGTGCCTAAATAAATAAAGCTACGCAAATTCTGCGAGGATACAAAATGAAAACTTCATCGATGCTGAAGACGATAGTTTAAATAATTTCACCAACAGTTGTCTATAATTCTATTACCAATCAAATTCAGGAGTGTAACTGGCTTGAAACGATTGTTTTAGGTGTTTTCTCAACTTGTTCTTCATCTTTAAACTACGATTTCGAATAGATACCAAAAAGGAATACCCGCCTTATTTTCAAAGCAAAATTATATTTTAAATAAATAACTGTGTAGATCGTCTAAGGCCACTCAACTTTGTCTGAGGGAGTTCCAATTTATGTTTTAGTATATAACCAATTATATATAGCAAGTAAAAGATATGGTATCAAGAAAATCATACCAGTACCGGAGCACGCACTACTGAGTGAATGGTTCCCTTTGGGTACTGATAGAGGTCACCTACAGTTGTACCCCTCTCATGGTAGTAAAAACCACAAACCAACAACACGGATTTTCTTAAACTCTACTACGCTTTATCAAGCATGCAAAAGCCAGAACGGTTGAAAGTCCGGCAAAATTTTAACATGTATAACGTGTGTTTAATTAAACAATTATTATCGAAATCATGAAAAATATATTTTTTTACAGATAATGTGCATTTAAAAAAAAAAATTGATATAAGCCGCTCCTGTATGGCGAGCATTCTTAATCTGCCTTTGTCACACGTATTAAAACTAGAGCCTCTCGAAAATGTAAACAAATACGTGGCAACTCCTGTTGTTCATGTTTCTTTTTATCAACATGTTATGAGTATTCTATTTACAACTAACATCTAAGTAAAACAATATTTGAAAAGAAAGGACATGGGATATCCATCCATGGCACAAAATCAGAACATGCCCCCCCCCAAAAAAAAAACACAAACCGCAAAGGAACGGCGTTTTTATTGCTGTCTTTCATCTCAAAGTCACAGTGAGGTAATAATCATGTTTCTATGTTATTTTAGAGATGGGATTGGTTTTCGAGGGCAAGTGAATTGTATAACAATGTCAGAGATCACATAAGGTAAGACATTTATAGCATCAACAATTATTTTTGCTTTACATCCAATGGCATATAATTTGAATACCGATTGAAATTTTCCACAATGCTGGTGCTGATTACATGTACCCAGTCTAAAAGGTTAGATACGACAATATCGTACATATATTATTGGTTATTCGCCCTTGCGATCCTCAGTTGAATTACAACATCTTTTTTTGTCAAAACGACAATAAAACAACAATGAATATTAAAATAAACACTATATGATTTATCCATAAAATAGAGAAAAAGATATAAATTTTACAAAGGTATAATAAAAACTTACATTTTTAATCTTATAGCGCGAGACTTCGTGACGGGATGTCGACTTTTTATCGTGATTTATCTAAATTTTGTGCATTTACTGGTACATGTAAGGGACCGGTCATTATTTATTTCCAGGGGGGGGGGGGCGGCAAAATGTAAATTTGAAATGATAAAAAATGATTGACCCCCCCCTTTTCAAAATGTGTTAAAAAATTTAACCCCCCCTCTTTCAACTACATAAAAACTTTTGACCCACCCCCCTCTCTTTTCTGATTATAATTGAAAGGTTTCAAATGATTCAATTATCATATGTTGCTAATATTCCTAGTAAGGTATTTTAATACACATACACAGAGAATGCATTGAGGACGACATCTGATAGAAGAATACACTCATGTAAGGGACCGTTCAATATTTACCAGATGGATGGGCCGGTGCATTCTTAATATTATTTCATTAAAAAAGTTAATGCCCATCCTTTTAAATTCTGCAAAAAAGTCCTTGCCCATCTAAAAAAA